TTCAAAGATACAAAGCTAAATATACAAAAAATAGCAGTTTTTGAGAAAAATAAGCATCCGAATTGAATGATTCAAAAAAATTTTTGCTTGTGTTGACAAAACAATTGCTTTTGGAAAAAAAGTTTCATTTAAATTTTTTCTTGTTTGTATATCGAAAATAATTCAGATTTCAATTTTAATTCTGGCTAAAGTTTTAAAGCTCACTTATATACTTTAATAAATATTTTTGACTTTGTGATTCAGTTTATAAAATTCTTATTGTACAATGTTTCAGTATTTATAATTCAAAACATTTAATATTTCTCGAACATTTCGTTGTGGTACGGTAAGTTCCAGCAATTTGCCTTAAGCACGATGCCATACACCACTAGTTTTTAAAAAAAAGACCTCTCAAAGTTGATCCATATTGAAAACTTTGCCTTAATAGACAAAACCAATAAAAATTAATCACAATAACCAAGACAATTTTACCAAAGCTCATATATTTTCTAACTACATAGAATACATTTTTTCTCGTCCAGAATTTCTACGCTGGCTATTCTATATTATGTGGAAAATCCATTTTCAAAATATCATGCTTTCAGATTTCAAAATAAAAATCTTTTATAATCCTATTACATTGCTGTTTTAATATATATATATATATATATATATATATATATATATATATATATATATATATTAACAAAGTCTAATAATCGGGCATAACATCAATAAAAAACATGAATTTCTTTCAAAAATTTATTTTAAATCCATACGTTTCGGCTATAATCCTAGCCTTCATTCAGTGGAAACTAAAAATAAAATTAAAAACTAAAACAATTGAATTGGAGTGAAAAGAAAAAAATAAAATAGTAATTAGTAGTTACAATTAGTTGATCTTAGTGTTAAATTGGAAAATTTTAATAATCCATGGTATTAGGATATGGTAATGCACTACACTATGTATTATAAACATTAACTTGAAATTACACAATATTTTCACAAAATACTGATTTGAAAAAATCACAAATGAATAGTGTGTTATTCGTAGACTGGTTGAAGAGGTTCTTAAAAAGGTTTTATATTAATTTACCTATAAAATATTTAAAATATTTTATATTAAATGTTTATTATAAATGTTTTGGGTGGTGATTCTGAGAAGAAAAACTGGTCTTCTATTAATTAATTACGGTTTTGAGCCAATTTTTCGATCGGAAATTATTTTGTTAATTTACCAGTTAGCTGGGGAAAAGTAAATTAATTGGTAATTTGAATATTTGACTATGTCAAATTACTCAAATATTGATGAGTCATGAAATCAAATCATAGAAGAAAAAAGCGAGTGTCACAACTGTCCACACCACAAGGACGGTTGTGACAGGTATAAAAATATGTTAAAAAATAATAACTATATATATCAAAATCCTTTATAACGATTTTTATTGTCAGAAAAATGTAGGACAACACAGCATAATCATTTAAACAAAGCGTATTTAAATGACATAATCATTTGAATAAAATATAATTTTTTAATCAAGAAATCTTTGTGAAATCTTTTTTTTTCTTTGTATTGAATTTTTCTTTACCTTTCCCTTCCATATTTTGTCTTGGTTAAGTTAGATGTTTCTTGATCTATTCAACCCTCACCCGAAAAGTACAAAGTTCACAACCCCATGCCACAACCATACCCAAGTAACACTTTTGATAACAAATCATCGTTTTGACTAAGTTAAATTATCTACGTAAAAAGTGATTGCTGGTAATCTAATGTTCAACTTACATCAAAGTAGCAAACAAAGTGATCTATCTGTATACAAATAATAGTTATTATTAAATCGAACAAAAAAACTTATTGTTGAATCTTCAAAAGAAATGCGGTCTACAGATCGTGTTAATGCAGAACGCTGATTCAATGCAATAGTGGAAACTTATTTAATCAAACATACTTCATCTTTCTCGTTTTGGACGAACCCTATCTAATAATCAGTATAGTTTAGCTGCTATAACGTCACTACCATACCCTAGCACAACCGAGCCTAGACTCCGCGACCCATGATGAAATTTTTTTGCTAATAATAATATAATAGTAGAAACTTTACGAAAAAAACATAACATTCTAATACAAATGTATTAATTATTCGCTTCAGCAACACAACATTATTGCCATCACTTAACAATGAAATGATATTAAACAAAACAAACTTCGTTGGACATACAAATTATAAATACTCAAATATTGAATTCTATAATCCACGAAATAAATAGATAATAGTTGTTCGTAGAAAATTCCAACATTCCTATATGGACTATCAGGAATGTCGTCCTGCATACCAACGACTATCTATAGAAGGTCGTGATATTCATTGCTAATCATGACTTGGAAGATTCCTGGTCAAGAATAAGGATTGCAGAAGATTTCAATAAGCAAAAAATCAGATAAAATAGTTTCATGTGCATGATTCTTTTAATTTTTTAACTAAGCAAATACATATATTTTTTATTTCCATATAATTACAAATCTATACGGATCAAAGACATGGACTCGAATAAAGTCCTATTTGGAGAGTTTTGAGATGTGAGCTATGGTGAATGGAGAAAATAAAGTAGACAGACAAGGTGATAAATGAAGAAGTCCTGAGAAGAGTGGGTGGAGAAATGTTTTTACTAAGCATGATTCTAAAAAAATAAGGAAACTGGATCGAACCCATTCTGCAAAAAGAATGGCTTTTACACGATGTAGTCGAAGGAAAAATAGACTGAAAGAAATGGAAAAAAGAAGAAGATTGACAATTTACTTAAAAAGAGGGAACTTAAAGCCGAATTGCAATACCAGCAAGCATTGAAGCAGAAGTTTGGAAAGAAAAATTATTAAAATAAAGGAAATGAATAAAAAGTGGTAGTAAAACGGTAATGAGAATAATAAATAAGCAAGGGGAAGGAAATCATTTATTTTGTGGTGCAGAATACTATTTATTACTATTATTATTATAATTACAATTTTCATGAAAAGTAACTGTTATAATTACACATTAGTAATTTTGGTTACTAATGTGGAAAGATAAGATTTTACAATGATACTCTGTAGAAGTCCTTAAGTTTGATGTACTTGGTACTTCGAGAAAAAACTTTTGTGAAAGGAACATTTACTGTATCATATTTATCTCAAATAAAATCAATCAAACCGTTTAATATTAAGTATGTATTAGATTACTAAAAAATGAAATTGGTCTCTAGTTTCTTATGTCTGATACTCTGATTACTTCTTTTGGAAGGTTTATTAAAAATAATCACTAATGACCAATTAAATTTGTGTAACTCGAGAATAGCTTACAAATTTCACATCATTTAATTTAAAATGTTAGGTAATTTAATATTTATCATGGCGTAAATATGAAAAAGAAGAACACACCATATTTTTGTGGAAAATAACTAAGCGGGACTTATCTCGACAAAGCTTGCACAAAGGACTAAAGCCTGCTCACTTTGAACAACAAACATACAAGTTTTGTTTGATCAATCAAAATTGTCATGCATGTAATTCCATGTGCACTCGTATGTATATAGCAAAGGGGCTAGTGAGAAAAATTTAACTATTTTTGAAAATTAAAAGTCCAAAACTTGATACATTATTATTATTATTATTATCTATTTATTATTATACGCCAATCGGCTATATACCGTTAACCACTGATCCTTAAAAATATTAAACTTAAAACTTCAAAGATGCCAAAATGGCTAAAAAAAATTTTGAATGCCACCAAAATATCTCCAAATTGGTTAATATATTAAAAGCGATAATATACGAATACATTCAGACAATCACAAAAGGCAACTCGAGGATCACCCAAACTTACTTGCCAGAAAACTTCTGCACAATTACAAAGGCAATATTGAAATAGAATTGAAATTTATGTTACATTGAAAAATATGTCAACTCTGACAGTGATCAAAAAATTTTGTATTCTTAGTCGGATTGTTGTTCATTTTAATTACTATAGGTACAAAAGTCCAATTTGACTTTGTATAATTATATTGTGAGAACCAAATCAATTATATCACAACAAATAATGCATATCAAACAAACAACTATCTGACTATGTTCAGTAATAATTCTAACATTGTAGAAATGTGCTTTATTTGCTGTTTTTCAAAAATTTGTAATCTGCTTTTTTACCCCATATATAATTGAGACTTCCAGGGGGCAATTAAGTTTAATGATAACTTTTAATTTTAAAGGAATATTACAAAATAATAGCTGCATTATTACAACCAATGCAAAATATGAATTTCATTTGCATTTTGTGCATTTTTGTAGAGATAACACTGTAAATAACCTTGATCTGGTATTTCGTCAAAAATATTCATCAGCAGAATTGGATTAATTATTTATTCGATTTATCTCTTATAAAATTGTTTTTTTAGCTTAATTTTCTCTTTTATTTGCTATTTACCAAATTTGTTCTTTTTACCCCATTCAGATGCAAGCTTTGATGGAGGATTTTCTTCTGATAGCAACATCGTGAGAATCAAAGTGATGGCTGATTATACATCTTTTTCCCTCTACTTTCAAATATTATTGAAAAAATCCTAAATTTACTTGTTTGAGATATCGATGGTGGACCTTTTTACCAGTGGACCTTTTAATCCCGCTCTACTCTATATTTAAAAAAAAACACTTGTCCGTCTGTTGTGGGACGTTTTGCCCAAACCCAAAAAGAAAAATGATAGCTTGGTTTAATTATCACTATTATCAGATATTCAGATGATAAATATTATGTGTATACTACTACATAATGAAAAATTTAGAATTGAATAGATGAGATTTTAAAATATATTTTTCTAAAACATTTTTCTCAACATTAATTCGCAATGACATGAGAAACTAAAATCATATATGTATTAAAAAAGTAAATTTGGTCATGTTTCATTCGTAACGTTTTTACTTATCCGTAATTGAATTATTAACGTATTGAAAGGAAATGTCCAGTAAAAATTGTTGCTAAAATGAACAAATAAAAATGAGTCGGAATTATCTTAACAATATTAAAATTAAAGTAATATTTTATAATGTTGAAATGTTTGCATTAATTTGGTTTTAATTTGTTGTTTCAGAAATGTTTAGGCACATTAGATTTGACCTCCTTGGGCGTCGGGTCATGTTGTGGTACCGGAATGTATTTAGTAGCCGGAATGGTGGCCAGAAATGTTGCAGGACCTGGAGTTATAATTAGCTTCGTTATAGCTGCTATTGCTAGTCTTTTTTCAGGTAAAAAATAAATTAGATTTCATATAGTTATTATTTGATTTAGCATATATGCTTATTTACTATATGTTCAAATTGCAATACGATTACTTGCAACACAACCTCTCGACACCACATATGTTTTTTTGTGCAGTTTAATATTTGATAATGATTTCAATAATTTTTTTTAATGATGAATAATTAAATACAAAAAATATTATGATGTTCATTTTGAAATACTATCATTAAATATCTTTAAAATATATTCTTCAAAATTCATGTTGATCTAAAAATTTCTATTGTAATTGTAAATCTATTGTGTAATGTATTTGTTGGTATAATTTATGTATTTGCTGCAAGTTCTTATTACACTAATGATTTGTCACCGAGTTCTAATTGAAAAAGATATATTTATTGATTATTTATTACATATGTTGTTACGCGGACTTTAATTTTGGAAGTGTGAAAAATAAGTTCGATGCAAATCCGCTATACCCTCTACACTACAGGCTAGCAACAATCCGGTGTAAAAGCTCAATGCCATGAAGATTGCCACCTTCATGGCCGAAATAATATAATGAAAATACGTCCAAACAATACTACTGAAAATATTTTTTCATTCAGCAATTTATAGATATTATAAATATTAGCCAAAAGCATATTTAATTTTTACCATCTGAATAGTCTGTGCATTGAACCAATAATTCCATGAATATTAAATTATATTAAATTAAGCATTTACTTTTAATATCCAAGAAGGTTTAGCACTTTGTCTTTTTCGAGACTTGATACTTTTTTTTAATGTGCAAAAGGTAAAATAGGTAGCAAGTATTAGTTACGCTATGACCCTTCATATAGGCACTAGTCTTAAGCAATTTTATATTAATCTATAAACTTAAAAAGCAAAATAGAGTAAACCAAATAATAAAAGAATTACGAATGTGTATAATTTTACACTGAATTCTGTTTTATTTTTACACCAAAAGGCTTCAGTACGATAAAATAAAAGCAAAATTTAAAATTTTCGAATACCTCTTAAATTTTTATTTGTATAAAATCGATTCAGTCACATACAATAGCAAATAAAATGTCACTCCTAAATATTGTGTAACAAATCATAATTTGCCTGCTGCGTATAAAAAATAGGTAAGGATTTGTGAAAAATCATTATTAACATTTAACATTTAAAAACATATTTCCATTGAATAAGCTGAATTACAGTATACGAGTAAAAGAAATATATATGAGATTACTACTCAAGGGTTTTATACACTCGCAATGTTATATACATATTGCAATATATTTTATCTTAATCATCACATTTATATATTTATTTAATTATTCATAAGCAAGCCGTAATCAATAATAATAGATATTATTTCAGGCTCTTGTCAAGCTTATTCATAATTATTATTAAATTACAAGGATAGTAATTTTATAATAATCATAGTAGCTGCATGAATTTCGCTTCTGAAAAAAAAGAGCTGAAAAAAAGCTTTCGAACATTAAATACAATGTTCATAATCAAGTTCATCATATTAAAGTCTATTTGACCACCAGTCAAGCTCAAAATTCTTGCACAAGGTTGAAAGTAATACTCATTTAAAACCGTAAAAATTTAATTTAATAAAATAGCAATAAAAAAACATGGTTGTATAGGCGATCAAATGGTCAGACTACATAAGTAAAGGATAAGGATTATGCAAGAAAATAGTTATTGAAATCAAATTGAGAAAATTCAGTAATGTCATAAAAAGCTAATTCTTTAAAAAGTTTAACTAGAGAAGCATGAAATTTTTTGCTGCCTAAGTTTCAAATAATGAGTGGCAGTTTATTCACAAGCTGAATACTTAAACCGTCGATCGTATTGAAAGAGCTGGCTAATTTATATGTGCGCGCCTTGATAAGTTTGTGTCTAGTGTTGTAGTTTGAGGAGGACGAAGCCATATCAAAATGTTTCGAATTGTTTTTGATGAAAGATAATGTTACCAGCAGAAAAATGCATGGGACAGTTAGAATATTGTATTTTTTAAATATGGGTCTGCAGGAGGCTTTACTGGGCAAGAAAAAAAATTATTCAAATAGCTCTTTTCTGAAGCTTAAATATTTTAATTAGTTCGGATAAAAAAAATATATAATATGAGGAAAGAATAGGAAAAAGATCAACAATTTTCTAAAAAAGACCACATTTTAATGATTGGGAATGTTATTAGATTTTATCATAACTCTCTTACAAAAAAGAATTACAAATCATTGTGTTCATACATAATATAGTATTGTGAAAAATCTATTTTTTGACGAATAAATAATTTGCATGGTATGGTTTCTTGTTCTGCGCTGAAACCAAACAGTTTGTTTTTCTTAGAAGTGCAGAAAAACATTCAGGTGGAAAACAGACAAATTGCAGAATATGATATTTATAACATTGTATATTTTATTTGTATTGGCGCACAAGAATATTGAAAACGCGGTATTTGCAGCAAAACTACTGCATTACACTCGAACTACCGCATTGCAAAACAAAACATAGAAATAATTTAATATAAAATTTATCGGTTATGTTCGCGATCGTGGAAAGAAATACCTGATGTTTTTCTGAATGTTTTAGTTTTGAGTCTCGTCCGTTTGATAACTTTTCCAATTAAGTTTGCTATTTTCCAGGAGCGTGTTATGCTGAGTTCGGAGTGCGCGTCCCACACACGACTGGAAGTGCCTACGTATACTCATATGTTACTGTGGGTGAATTTATTGCATTTGTTATTGGGTGGAACATGATTCTCGAGTATCTCATAGGTAAGAATTTACATATACACCTTTTGCAAAGGTGAGAATCAGATTTCAAAAGGCAAATGTTTCCACGCGATAAAATATAACCTCTCATCTCTGGTGTTGCTTCGAGGTAATACATTGATTCGAACCTCTGAATGATGGTTTTGGGACGAGTCTGATCGATATAGTAAACGTGGAATATTTGTCTTTGAATAAGTCAATTCTACTTTGATATATCATTTTTTATACTATTTATTTAATGTAATGATATTTTTGAGTAGTTTTTGGATGTTGAGGAGATGGTTTTATAATTAGGCACTATGTTGTTGAATCGTACAAATAACTGACGATAATACTACAATACATAGACTTTATTGCATTCTTCAAATTGAGAAACTACGCATTTATTGCAACTTTAAAATATTCAGAATTAATTTAAATGATTTGTTTGTGCGTATTAAGTCTCTCTTTCAATAACTCATTGTCAGGGTTATAATTTAACCTTTGTATCTGCGGACAGTATTAAACCAAAATTTAATTTGTTGGTATAATTTATTATTTGTTGCAGTGTTTGTTACAATCACTGATTTGTCACAGAGTTATATTTAAAAAAGATATATTTATTAATTATTTATTACCGATGTCAACAGTTAGTCCCAAACTCTCCATTACCCCCTCTACAAGGGTAACAACTTTCAAGTACAAACTCTCATTACCATGAAGATTGCTGCTTCATGGTCAATATAATAATATGAAAATACGTCCGAACATGACTAATTACTAAAATCTATTAATAGGGTCCGTAAGATCCGCGCGTTAAATGGTCCATTATATTATCTCTAAATAAGTTAAAAATAGATTATTTTAATTATGTATTACAAATGTGAACAATTAGTCCCAAACTCTTCGCTACCCCCTCTACAAGGGTAGCAACTTTCAAGTACAAACTCTCAATGCCATGAAGATTGCTGCTTCATGGTCAATATAATAATATGAAAATACGTCCAAACATGACTAATTACTAAAATCTGTTAATGGGGTAGTGCAAGACTTATAATTAGAGGTCCGCGGTTAACAAGGTCCATCACTATTATCTCAAAATAAGATAAGAATACATTATTTTAACTATCCTATTTAAGTAGAGGTCAAAGATTTATGTCCAGACATCACCTTAATTCTTACAACGTCTACATCTGGAGATAAACGGCCATGTATAAATATTAATAACAACAGTTTTCATTGGTTTTTTGTGTTGAGTACTTTTATTTAAATTATAATACCTCATCTGAATATAATTCTTATGTATTTCAAATTAGATTTAATAGTTTTTTATATAACCTCTATAGAAGTTTAATTGTGGGTGGGGTAAAAATGACTAGCTAAACCTTCACAATAAGAAAATAGTCAATAAAAAGGTAAAGTTTATTATAAATAAAGTATTACAAGATATAAATTAAATTAATATGTATCTAGTAATTTCAACTCTGCAGATAAATATTTCTGACAATATACTAGATCAAGGTTATATACAAGTTATCTCTGTAAAAAATGTACGCATAAAATTTATATTTTACATTGATTGCATAATGTAGCTATTAATTTGCAAAATCTCTTTAAAATTAATAATATGACATTGGATCGATTTGCCCCCTGATATTCCCACTTCACCTCGCCTATGAGGTAAAAAGAACCAAGTGACAAATTTTTGCAAAATAGAAGAAAACATACTTTTACAGTACAGGGTCCGGCACTCGAAGTGTAACCAATTTCAAACAGCTCGCGTAGCTGATGCACGTGTACCAACTGTCAGTAAGTTACCTAAATGATAGTTTAGTCTATTGTTTATAAGCGTACGAAAGTATTTAGTCAACAGTGAACGCGAAAAAAAGAAATCAGTAATGGATTTCAAACGTAACAGTGTGATTACATTATATTTAGCTGGAAAATCACAACCAGCGATTGTTCGAGGGCTCAAACACCTTAAAGTGAAAAGTTTTCGCTTATCGCACCATAACTCGTTACAATGAAACTGGTAGCATCGCAAAACGTCATGGAGGTGGTCACCAAAAGACTGCAATGTCACATGAGATGGTCAAAAAAGTGAGAAAGCGACTCGAGCGAATTCCCGCCGAAGTGCCAATTAAATGGCAGAAGAACTTAATACATCTGACCGTAGCATCCGCCGCATACTGAAAAATGATCTCAAGGTCAAGCCTCATAAGATCCAAAAGGCACATGATCTTACGTCGAAGCAGCAGCAAGTGAGACTTCAGAGAGCTAAGGAGATGCTTCGCCTGGCCGAGAGTGGTAAATTTCCGAACATTGTGTTTTCCGACGAGAAAATTTTCATAATTAAGCAATTCCCACATTCTCAAAACGATAGGGTTTACTTGACTGAACGTTCAGACAAGAATTTGAGCCATCGACTGGCCACCAGGAGGCAACACCAGCCACAGATAATGGTTTGGGCCGCTGTAAACGCAGATGGGCGATCTCCAATCGTTTTCATCGAGCCTGGCGTCAAGGTAAATGTGCGATATCATCAGGAAAGTATTCTGAAGGTTGCTTTGAAGCCATGGGCAGATCAACATTTCTGTGGCAGACCATGGACGTTTCAACAGGACTCGGCACCGTATCATAAAGCTCGATTGAACCAAGAATGGCTGAAAAATACCGTTCCGAACTTCAAAACGTCCGCACAATGGCTCTCAAATTCACCACACGCGAATCCTATGGATTATTTTCTTTGGGCCATTTCGGAGAGCAAGGTCCGAACTAAGGGGTGCATCAGTCTCGAGGCGCTAAAAAAAGCCGTTGTCCGCCAGTGGGCCAAAATACCTGCAAATCACGTTCGGCCAAATGCGATTTGTATTTGGACCGTCTAAAGGCCATAGTCAAAGCAAAAGGTGGTCATGTCGAGCAAAAGTAAATTGTTCTTAAATTTTGTATTATTTTTACACATTTTGTACTTTGAATCGAGTAAAATTGATTTTCAAAACTGAATTTATGGCTCTTTCAATTGGTTACACTTCGAGTGCCGGACCCTGTAGTTTTACATAGTCAGATAGTTGTTTCATTGACATGCATTATTTGTAGTGATATTGTTGCTACCATATTGAACCAATGCAAAATATAAATTTTATTGGCATAATTTTTACAAAAACAACATGACAAATATAACACTGTGAATAACCTTGATCTAGTATTTAGCTAGAAATATTCACCAGTAGAGTTGGAATAGTTATTAATTCAATTTATTTCCCGTATACATGTTTTAACAGGGATTCACATATTTATATTCTATTTTTTATAGTTTACACCTTTGCCAGGGTAAAGGTTCGATTGATCCATTTTATTCCTCAATATGTAAGCTATTATAGAGGTTATATAAACACTTCTGGTTGAATCTAACTACATTGTATAAAACAATTAAACAACCAATAAATATGTTTGTAATAGATTTTCAAGCATGGCTGTTTATCTCCTGATAGCGACGTTGCTTGATTCACTTTTTTACTTTTAAAAATTGTTGTTAAAACATTCCCCAAATTACGTTTTTTGAGATATCGGTCGGAAAACAAAAACCATCCTTTTCCTCCAACCATCCAAGAATGATAACTTTTAAGTTATTTTAAGCCAAAAATTAGACAATACAAAATTACTATGATTTTCAACATATACTGACTACAATTGATTGATTAATTAACTATTTCTATAATGTATCAAATGAATTTTGTTTAGAAAGATATGAAACTGTTCAAATTAATACTTGTATCTGCTTCATTCCCCATTATATTTAAACATATTTTAAATAGTTAATACGTAAATCACCGGTAACAAGTATACATAACAAGTAAGGCATAATATCATTTTAAGAGAAATCCTCAACATTCCAAAAGTTAATGAAATGCAACAATAATTGAAGATAAATTTATCGTCATCCGTATCCAACATTATCTTTAAATTTTATCAAGTATAAGAAGATTCAAAAGAAAATAGCTTATATAAAACTGCATACGATAAAGACTTGTTTAAATTAAAAAAAATACTTTACCTTTGCTTGAAAAAATTGTATATTTCTTATAATTGAACCTTTTCAGCTTATAATTACTTTAGTCATTATAGTAAGTTGTAAATACTTGTATATTGACACCTAAAAGTCATATGTAGGTTTTGGAACAACTTTTAGGGGTCAATATACAAGTATTTACAGACTTATAGCTGGGTATATCGAATTTCGAGATTCTTATCTAATTTAAGCTTAAATGACTGGAGTAAATGTTCTATTAACTGGTCTGATTGTTTGTTATAAAATCATATTTCAAATAATAATATTTCAAACAATGTATCAGCTATCATAGAGATCGCAATATTGAAACTTGATTCCATGTGTTTCAGGGACAAGTGCCTGCGCTTGTGCGTTAAGTGCCAGCTTCGACTCTTTGTCTGGAGGCGCAATTAATAGAGGAATTGCAGAAAATGTTGGAACAATACTAGGTACAGAATTTTAAATCATGTAAAAAAATTGAAATTTGTTTGGCCTTCAAAAAAAAAGTTTTATTATAGGGCCATGTCAGTCATATATGTGTAACATGAAAAATTATGTTTTGCCAAGAATTTTGCCATAAAAGTTATTTTTCTTGGTTAATTTAATAAATTTTGAACTAAATTATCTAACAAAGTTATAATTGCCCGAATGTCAAAACTTTTCGGATATTATTGTGGCGATCAACGTGTTATTATAATTAAGTATAAACTACAATTAGCGGATTTTATTCGTAAAAAGTACAGAATTTGTATTTTAAACGTTCATTATAATTATCATTATATAAATATAAAATTAATTAAAAAAATTCTTAAGGTAAAACGATATAATTACGAATATAAAAATTGAACTACTAAATCGTAGTAATTAGTAGTTGTAGTACAATTAGCTTGTGCAGATATTTGTCATATTTTTTGCTGAGTATATACAAATAATACAGTCTTATACAACGTGCCCCAAAGCTCAACGTCAAGCCAAAATCATGAATAAAAATATGAAAATATTTATCTAACGTTTGAAAGAATTATGAGATTTAATTGCAACTATTTTTCGGTTATAGTGGTTATTTTTCATTAATTTTGTTTATTTAAGCTTTGGATCCGCAATTGTAAATAACATTTCTAGAACCACAGTCAAAAATAATGACACAATAACCCCCAGTTTTGAAGAATTAAACTTTTTATTAAACTGCTTATTTAAAATGCTCAAAATTGGTCAACTTTGAGTGGCCCTTTTTTTAAAAAAAAAATGCACTGAAGTGTGTTGGCAAGTTTCATAAAAAATTGGCACACTTATTCAGCATTATAAATGATGAAATACTTGATAGTTTCATAATAAAATTCGAGTCAAAAAATGAAAACCTAAAAATAACATGATTTTTCTAAAGCATTTTACTCACAATCAGTTCAAATATTTATCGTACGGGCAATACCTGTAATTTTTCACAATCAGTGAAATACGTTTCAAATACGTTCTTTTGGATTTAAAATTTTAGTAACTCTGTAAGCTGTAATTTTTCACAATCGGTGTCTCAAACACGTTCTTTTGGATTTAAAATTTTAGTATTTTTGTAAGCTATAATTTTTCACAATCAGTGTCTCAAATATGTTCTTTTGAATTTTGAAATTACTACAAATCCGTAAATGATCCTCTCAACAAGCACAAATAGATCGATAGCACAAATTCAAATATGCTGCTTTATTTAGAATAGATTATATGTGGCCTTCCTTGAAAAAAAATCTTGATGATAAGCATAATTTAAAATTCTAAATTAGGAAAACGTGGCTAATAAAAATCTATAACATTAATTTCTACATCATTTAAGAACATATAGAATTTACATATAATCATAATAACTTCATCCCGAAATGCTGCTATAATTATTATTAAAAAACACTAGACAGTTGCAGAGCAAATAAATATTTTTGATTAAAACAGTTGCTTCATTTATTATGAATGAAAATACATGGTAACACCACTAATCTCGAGTTAAACTCATATGTAATTTATATTTTGTCTACATTTATTTTCGGCTTATCTTCTTTTTCAGTATGTGATTATAAAAATAATGCAACAAACTCGTGTTTAACTGCTAAAACAATTTTTAAAGTGATCTATAAACGTACTGCCGACTGTAAACTAAACTTTGTATACTATAATCCTCCGCCCGAATAAATCAAAATATGCTTCCAATTAATCTAAATCCAATATATGATATTATTTGCAGGTCGTTCTCCAGATTTCATTGCGATGGGAATAACGTTACTAATGACTGGCGTGTTAGCGTTAGGTGCCAGTAAATCAGTATTATTTAACCATGCTTTAAACGCAATCAATTTATCCGCCTGGACTTTTATTATGGCTGCTGGACTTTTCTATGCGGACTCCAGCACCTGGAGCGAACATGAAGGGTTTCTACCTTTTGGATGGAGCGGGGTAAGATGAACACCAAAACTTAGGTTGAATTTTTTAAACTTTCTTCTGCTAACAAATAATTATTTTTTTTAAATTTATTATTTTTTATTAATAACTAGCATACCGGGCGAACTCCGTTTCACCACCAGATGGTATTACTTTATGTAACATTTCGTTTGGTGATTAAAAGATGAAAAAAAAATTGCCTGCTGTTGAAATTGAATAAAAATTTGACCAATACACGTGATTGATTTGATCGTTTCCAATTGAAATGTTAGGAAACGAATAACTTTTTTTTACATTTTTTGCACAATTTCACAGTGAACACAGTGAACAAAGAACAATGAGTAGCTGCCAAACAAATGAGTAGCAGTCAATCAAAAAATATTAGTTTGTAATACATGTTAAATGTATGAGAGTAATTATGTTGAAAAATAAACAAAAAATCGATTTTTCCAAAGATGGATGATAATAAATTAACAAACCATGTAATATACCAAAAAAGCAAAAATTACTTTTTGCATAACTCTCGTATGTACTATACATCTATGCATTTATTAGAAACTTCAATTTTGAGAATTTGAAAAAATTAAAATTTCAAAACTTAAAAATTTCCATCATAGGTTTCGAACAATATTTCGGAATTAATAACTATTACCCCAAAAAAATGTTGGGTTGGTTTAAAATGTGCCTTAATTTTAAAACCCATAAGAAAATAAATTATTATTTGTGCACTCTACCCTATCTAAAAACCTCGTTACAAATTTATTAGTATCATGAGTAAATTAATTTTCTGCAATTCGACCCAACTGCAACTGCAATTTCAATTTCAATTTAATGAGATATATTTCAATATATATAGACGGTGTATTATACTTCATCGTTACGTTTAAATCAGTACATTTATATGTGAAAAAATTATATAATACAGTGTCTTGTTTTTATGTGATAAAAAAAAATTGTCAAAAAAAGTTTTAACAATTCTTAATTCGATCCAAGTTTCTGAACAAAATGCATTTATATCTAATTAACCTCTACAACAGAGTTGAACATTAATTCAATTGATATTTAGAAGACAAGTAATTGAATTATTTATTAAGTGCCACTCAACTCCATATTGGAAACAACCATATTAAGTGTTTCCACTCATATACAGTCATCCTTTTAATGTGGACAGAATGCTAAAAATTTTAGAAAAGGTGAAAAGCTAATATTGTGATTGATATAAGTGCTAGACTATGTAAGAACTTTTATATAGATGTGTGGTTCACGATCCACTCGAATTATGATGAAATAAATAAAATTGGTACCAAGAAACTACTATTTCAATTCTGTAAAATTAGAGAAATATGAGGGAGACATTCACGTTGAATCGTCTATAACTTTATTAAAAAAGAAATAGACTGAGTGTACCACTTTTAAAATATTACTGAAAATCGGACTCTATTTAAATATGACTTTTCTTATTATTGTTTATAAATTATATCCAAAATACTTCTGTAATAAAAATAATTGTATAATAATAATTGAATTTCATAGGTTTAAAACGCAAACACCAATAATTACAATTACTTCAGAAAATAAATAAATAAATGTGCCTATGCTATATTTGTTTTCATGTCAAAATATGTTTATTGAAATCAAGATGTTTTTCTTTTCATTCCAGGTTTTCACGGGTGCTGCAACTTGTTTCTACGCTTTTATTGGCTTCGATATAATAGCGACAACTGGCGAAGAAGCAATGAGCCCGCAGCGATCTATTCCGCGAGCGATTTTTGCAAGTTTGATCATCGTGTTAATAGCTTATGTTAGCAGTTCTTTAATGATGACTTTGGTTGGTGAGTAATTTATTATTATCCGCATTATAATCAGCAAAACATGCTTAGGAAATTGAATACTAAAGCTGCCGTTAAGGCTGACGGAGTACCGAATACTTCATTTCAGCCACGTCCAGCTTGAGTTCCGGTTACAATTTTCGTGCGGCCCGATAACAAAGAAAAATCTCACAAATTAATGTTTAATATTTTTCAAATTATTGTCAGAAAATTTAATATTTCCTCAGATGATAAATACGTGAAATAATGATTAATTGCTGCAGCTAAAGGAATTTGTCCAAAAAAGGTTAATTTTTATAAACAAGTAATCTAAACCATCCGCTCATCAAGATGTCGAACTTAGAGTTGATAATATTTCCAATGACATTTCCTTAAATCTTAATAAACATACCAGACAATTAGTTTAATACTCCTTATCTTTGGATGAAATAACATATAGCATCATAATAACTTGCGGCCCAGAGCCTTGCAATTGATGGCCTAGTCGCCTAGTGCCCAGTACATTCCTAAATTTTGTCCCGAAGAGTAGTTTAGGATCGACATGACTACTCTATTTTATACTTTCTAATATTCGATTCAATTAGCTCATACTACCACCAATCAATAGGTTTCTCAAATCATGCAAAAATAACTTAAAAATCCAAGTAATACGACCATTTCCTAAACTACCCTGAATGTAAGGTGGGCGCCTCATCGAAGGGGCCACATATTATATTTAAACATACTTAATAAGCAGTAATTTAAAAGTTAATGCATTTTTTCAATTAATTTGAATGATAATTGCGATGAAGCGGCGGTGAAGACCCTAGTACTGGTCCTGAATGCGACAATGTTTAATTAGGTCTTTTTTTTTAAAAAAAGTTATTGGAAAACAGTTTCTACAGATACGTTACAGTTACAACAAGATTTAATTAATTTCTTTATTTCACATTCGCTAATACTTGAACTATTGTCTGCAAAGTTAGATACCTAGAGATACGTAACCCAATGTCATTAATTCAGATTAAGTCACAAAAGGGTCATTAATTCGAATAGTAGTGCCCTCATATATCATTGTTTTATTCAATTAGCAGCATATTGTTTTAAAAATTAAACATTCGCTCTATATTATAAAATTTCAATCTGTACTTTAATTATTGAAACAATGGCGAAGACGTTCAAGAATAAAAAAATGAAATATATTATTCAAAGTAAACAACATTTCTAATTATTATATTGCTTTATTAATTTGTGTTTCGTTGGCAATTTTCAATGCGTGACTTAAATAAGTAACTAATTGTGTATGGCATCGTGCCTTAAGGCTAATTGCTGGAACTTCCCGTACCGTTTTGAAATAGATTATTATAAATACTATAACTTTGTCTAATATTTATAAGCATTATATAAACTGAATTACAAAGTTAAAATTATTTATTTAAAGTATATAAGTTAGCTTTAGAATTTTAGCCAGAATTAAAATTAAAATCTGCATTATTTTCGAAATACGAAAATGTTTAAAAAAAAATCGGAAAAAAAAATTTAAAATGAATTTTTTTTTTTCAAAAGCAATTATATTGTCAAAACAAGCAGAAAGTTTTTTGAATCATTCAAATCGGATACTTAGTTCTCCCAAAAACTGCCATTTTATGCGCAATTAGCTCGGTATCTCCAAAACGGCTGGACCTGCCTTTGCCAAAAACTAAACACAACTTCTACCAATCATTACAAATTGAATGTTTTTTGGATCATTCAAATGGGCCACTCCGTTTTTTTAAAACCTCGATTTATATTTCTGCACTCTTTGCTCCATATCTCCGTAACCTGCCTTTGCCAAAAATCTAATCAGCACATCTCGCTATCAATAGGAATCGAATGTTTTTTGAACCTTTCAAATCGGTTGATCCGTGCGCCCGTAAACGTGGATAAAAAATGCGGACACACGAAACACATACACACACATCCATTTTTTCTGAGGTATGCAAAAAATGTTCAGAAACCTTCAAAACTTGAAAATGTGCAAAAATTTACATTTTCGATTTCGGCCCATTACTATAACTACCCTACGGGAAATTAAAAATACTAGTTGCCAGCAGACCTACTTTTATGAATATTTTTCAGACTTCAAGTATAAACTCATAAACCAAAACTACTGCTTAGATAAAAAACAAACATAAAAAAAAGATACAATGCCAAATTGAGTTCGAGAAGACACTCCGTTCCAAAGAATGTTAATTTATTCCACACCTTTCATTGCATAAATAAATCTGCAGCTAATTAGTTTAATCGTGCTTTTCTGAAATTCTTCTAAATGTTTTATCTCTGGCCTCTTTACTCTATTTTAGATTTTAATTTTAATCGTTAAACTAATATAGAGTGCAAAACCTACAATAACAACATGTATTCTTTACTATTTTCATATTTTCTAAAATAGAATTATTATTATATTTTTCCAGTGCCTTATGATCAAATCGACGGTGAGTCGGCACTTGTGCAGATGTTCGGCCAAGTGGGTGCCTGGCGATGTAGGGCGATCGTGGGCGTAGGCGCCGCCGCAGGATTAGGAGTCGCCATGTTCGGCTCGATGTTCCCGATGCCGCGAGTCATTTACGCCATGGCCCAGGACGGTCTCATATTCAAGTGAGATATTTTAATGGAATCACAAGCACATTCTTGAAAATGAAAATGATATGTCTAATAGTCATTATACTTCTAATATATACTACACAAAGAATTTCGTATGAAAAGTTTCGTGATCAAATAAAATGAGTTGCTATAGATAGCAGTACAGAAGTACTCTTGACCGTAATGGGTATGATATATTTGATACCTATATTTATAGGTATTGAATATTCCTATAAATACAAGGAAATTATTTGTCCAACGCTGTTTTTATAATATATATGGGTAAATAAATATATGTATAGGGGAGACTGAGTACGGTTTGCCACTTATTTTGATCAGCAATAATTTTGTTAATTCACCAGTTATCTGGGAGAGAGGTAATTTGAGCATTTGTCTACCTAGAAATACTGTGCTTAAATATGATAAATTAGTCAAAATAATATCATACAAGAAAAGGCGGCGAGTGTCACATCCGTCCACACTCCCCGGGTGACGGTTGGGACAGGTATTATAATGACTTTTATTGTAAAAAATATGTAACACAGCATAACAAAATATAACAAAACAATATATAACTAGTGGGGCACATGGCATCGTGCCTTAAGGCAAATTGCTGGAACTTCCCGTATCAAAAATTATTTTTTTTTTAAAAAATTAACATTTTTGAAAAAAAATTACTCTGAAAAAATTAGATTTTTGAGAAACTATAAATTTTTGACAAAAATTTACTTTTTTTGAAAAAAAAAAAGGATTTTTGAAGAAAAATTTATTTTGAATTATTTTGGAAATTCAGAACATTTTTTCAAAGTAATCGTACTGCTGTAACTGCATAGAGACGAAATTTTGAATTGCGTAAGCGCCGCGTCGCCGTCTAACGGATAACATTGGTACGGAACCCATATAAATGTAAACAAAAGTTATACTTATTGTTAAAATCTCTATAAAATATCTGACAATTTGATGTGCATATGTGTAATGATCATTTTTGACCGCCAAATGGCATTTTTTTCTACTTTTTTTACTAGATCTCGGAAACCGCTAGACCTGCCTTTATAAAAATTTAATTAGTGAATCTTGTTGATACAAGTAAAAAATTTTTTGAATTATTCAAATCGGACGCTCCGTTCTCTTAAAAACTGAGTTACCGCTTTTGGCACTTTTAGCCCTATATCTTCGGAACGGCTAGGCCTGCCTTCGCCAAAAAATACGAATCGAATGTTTTTTGAATTATTCAAATCGCTTCATCCGTGTTCCCGAAATCGTCGACGAAAATTTGTATCCGAACACACACACATACACGCACACACACACATACATCAATTTTTTTTAAGGTATGCCAAAATGTTCAGAAGGTTTTGAAACGTAAAGATATATAAAAATTTTCATTTTCGATTTTTTTTCGATTAGTATAACTTGCCCTACGGAAAGTTAACAAAAAAAATTAAACTAAATTAACAAGAAATTTGTAAAAAAATATGTATTGAAGTTTTCTTTCCTTTTATTTTTTTTGTATTTTGTCTTAGTTAAGTTAGATTTTTCTTAATCTGACCCACCTGCATGTTACAACCTTGAACATGTTGAAGGGTTTGAAAAAACCCGCCCAACGTACACTTTTGGAAACAAAACATCGCAATGACTTAGCTAAATTATTTACATAAAAACTAATTGCTGGTAAATAACTACTAATGTTCAAATTACAGAAAAGTGATCTATCTGTGTACAAGTAATAGTTATTATTAAAAAAAATCGAACAAATTTTTTTTTGATTCTTTAAAAGCAATATGGTCTACAGATCACTTTAATATAGAGCGCTGATTCAATGTAGTAAAGGAAACTTGTTCGAACAAATATACTTTATCTATCTCACTTTGGACTCACTCAAAAATCCGTACAGTTCGGCGACTGTCACTATCGTACCCTGGCACAATCGTACCCAGTCTCCCCTATAAAAAACTCCTACTATATAAATAAACTAAACAAAATAATTGTTAAAAAACAGTTTACTATTTCGCGAGACTTTAAAATCAGCAATTAAGATTTAGATTTTCGCATTCAATTTATTAAGAATTAAATATGCACAGGAACATCAGAAGGCTAAATGATTAAATGTATTAAATGCTGAATTATCTGTACAATATTACTTGTGTTTTCTCACTGTGAAAGTTTGTTTATCAACATTACCGGGTATAAAAGATAACAATTCTAAAAATCAATTTTCAACTGTAATAATATATAGAAAAACTGCATTTCTTACTAGTTTTTCGCATAGCCTTCTCCGATTCGCCTAGAATAAAAATGTTTAAAAGTTTCCTTTAATACTTTAGGGCTTAAAGTTTAAGCCACGTTGAGTTCGATCAACAGCTGTAAATCCTCCGTACAAGGGTAAAGTAAAGATATATAGCACAAAAAATGTTCAAAGTCTCTTAGTTTTACAACATATCAAGAAAACTTGACAAGCTTTAGTCCCATATCAAATGAATATGACGTTTTCATTTATTTAAGGCAACTTGCACATATTTGGCCTTTCTCTGGTACACCTGGGCTAGCGACATTAGGGAGCGGGCTTGCAGCCGCATTGGTGGCCCTTCTTGTTAGGCTGGAAGTTCTTGTGGAAATGATGTCTATAGGTAAATATTAATGTCCATATTTTTTTACAACTATGATTATAATTTTAATATAATTTTTTGTTGAAAAAAAATTACTAAATACTTATTATTATATTTATAAAAAAGTTCTTCTGAGGCGATACATCAAATGAAAGGCAGAGATGTATAAATCAATCTTTAATTTTCCAAACGTTTGGATAAAAAAATTCTTGTCATCATCAGTGATTAACACTAAATTTATACACTAACTCAGTGGTCGGAAAACCGGGGTAAATTACCCCAACTGGCGTAAACATAAAATTTTTAAGGGTAAAAAATATATGTTTTTAATTTACATCAACTGTATTTGCTACGTAGTTGTCCGTATGGGGGTCATCTCTCTTCGTCATAGGGGTAATGCCATCTTTTAGACGAAACTACTTTGGGGTAATGATTATAAAAGTTTTCCGACCGCTGCACTAACTTGTCATTAACAAAGTTTTTTTATAGAATAATGGGATATACAAAGGCGCGTTTGAAATCTCATGATCTTAAATTATTTTGCTCTAAAAGACTCGAATAAAATCCTATATTCATATTTTTGTTTGTGCATAATTCACCCAACATGTGTCTCCTTCCCTTTCTATCTAGACTTTCAAGTTAGTTCGCCTCAACAAACTTGTTTCAAAGTATTTTATAGCTTATCATTTGCACCAACTAGCAATTTTCGCCATGTTTTGATAATTTCGCATGCAAGTATATGTGTATCATTATCAATAGATAACTAGTAAGTACATGAATATATTTATTTTTAGGAACGCTGTTAGCCTACACACTGGTATCGACCTGCGTTTTAGTTTTACGCTATCAGCCCCATTCCACCTCACTTGTGGAGCTTTTGCCCCCTGCACTGAGGACCCCACAACCGCCGGCCACACCATCGGGCGGCGGGGCAACGAGTAAGATAATTATATTATATTAATAACTTTTGATATGAAATTAATTATACCAAAGCATGAACAATTACACAATATTAATTACATAATATTATATTTATTTGTTGAAATAAATAATGTTTTGTTTAATGTTCAAAAATGAAAAAATACTCTAGTCAAAAAATATTAAAACTAATGGTGCGTGCCTTAAGGCAAATAGCTGGAACTTTCCGTACCGTAGTTACAAATTTCTAAAAGCTCAGGGAACAAATATTAGATTTTTTTGAAAATTTTGATTTTTTTTAACATTTTTGAAAATTTTGAAATCATTTAAAGAATTTGGATATGGAAAAAATGCCTTTTTTCAAAAACTTGGAATATTTTTGAAAACTGGAAATAAAAAAAAAATTGATATTTGAAAATTTGAAATTTATTTTAAGTTTTTTTATACTCATTTATAATGGTTGTAGAGACTGTCGACATTTTTTAATTTTTTTTAAATCTTTCTGAATCTCCGAAATCGCTGGCCTTGCTTTTGCAAAAACTTAATCAATTCATCATTACGTCAATACAAGTGCAATGTTTTTTGAATCATTGAAATCGGATGCTCCGTTCTCTAACCAACCTAATTGCCATTTTCTGCACGTTTTGCTGCATATCTCCGTAAAGGCTGGACCTGTCTCCACTAAAAGCTAATCAGCACGTCTCCTTATCAATAGAAATCGTTTCTTGAATTTTTCAAAACATTTTTGACTCCAAACCAGCTATGCAGTGCGATTGCTTAAAAAAAATGTTCAAAATTTTCAAAATAAATCAAAGTATGAAAAATCAAATTTTTCAAAATAGTCAAATTTTTTCAAAAATTTCAAAATTTCTCAAAAATTTTATTTTTTCAGAATTTTTAATAATTTAGTTTTTGGTACGGGAAGTTCCAGTAATTTGCCTTAAAGCACGATGCCATGCACCACTTGTTTTTATTATCATATTGAAATGTATCAGTCTTAAGTAGCAACATATGAATCTTCATACAATGTTGTATCATTATTTGATGCCCACAAGTCAAAAGACGAATAATTCCGTATAAGACGATTTGATCCAAAATTTTCGATAAAAAAACGATAATCCCAATTGCATATTGATTTAAGAGAACTAAGCCGAACAAAAACCATTTTAGAGTAGCTTAAAATTATACATATTAAATTCAAATGATCTAATTCGAATCTTCAATTTTTTAGAAATTCCATTCAAAAACTTACAAATATACATTTTAAAGTGATTTATTTCAATTATACGACGTGATGGTAATCTATTTCATTTGAACTATTTTTTGGTGTTTCATATAAAAAATTATTATTGTTTATGAAAAGTTATTAGTTTAATAAATACTAGACAAATATTAGTTAGTTTTTATACTGATTTTGATCTTTAATTTCAATACCTTTGTTTCATTCCTATTCATTATTACTCTCCATTGATTTCCACTCTAATATGTACAATTGTGTGCTATCGCTCGTGCGTGTTGAACGGTAAATGCTTTAATATTATAAACATATGATTGGGAGATTTGATATGTAGATAATTACAAATAAAACCCAAATTACATATTAACTCAATGAACATTTTTATATTATTCCGGTACAAGTATTGCATGTTACCCAGACGCGTTTGCAATCTCATGATCTTTAATTATTTCGCCCTAAAAGACCCGAATGAAATCTAATTTTCACATATATTTTTGTCAGTTAATGCGTGTTCCTGTCTCTTTGTCACGATTTCTAGAGCCAACAAATATTTCATTTTATATTTAAAAACATAAATTCGATTAATAATATATAATTTATTCTGAAATCGATTATTCAGAATCGATACATTTATATCGATTAAAAAAGGTGATTTGTAAACATATTTATTTTGTATCATATTTGAACTTTCGGTTCCAATTCACGTTTCAATATAGCAATTTATTAAGAAATTAACTATTAAACTAGCAGTACATGGCCTTAAAGCAAATTGCTGGAACTTTTCGTGACAGAACTAAATATTGAAGCAAAAAAAATAATCAATAAATATTGATCAATGATTATTAACAAATGTTTTAAATATTTTGAATGAGATAATTATATTTACTATGTATTAATTCGTTCATATAATATACAGTAACGATCTTGTCGCTCAAAACACTTAAAAATGTTTACATTAAAAAGAGATGCCGAATAAATCCATCTGAGGATATATTTCTTACGATGACGTCATCGTAACTGTAAACTTAAACTGAATTGTAAATTTAAAATTCATATTTAAATTCTAAAACTTTGCATATTTTTGAAAGTTTTGAAAAAAAAAATCTGAAACTTTTGAAATTTGTTTGAACCTTACAAGTGAACTTAAAAAAATCTTGGTACAATAACCCACAAAAACTCACCTCTCTCCATCAGTAGAAATTGAATGTTTTTTGAATCATTCAAATCGTTGAAATCAATCAAATCACAAAAATCCATGCGCCCAAAATCGTCGATAAAAAATTGTATCCAAACATACATACACATACACACATACATCCATTTTTAATAAGGTATTCCTAAATGTTCAGAAACTTTTGAAACGTAAAGATATGAAAAAAAAAATATTTTCGATTATTTTGCGATTACTACAACTTGCCTACGGGAAGTTAATAATTTAACAATATTCAAAAAATATAATTTTCAAACTTTCGTTACGCACAATATTTTTTATAATTCTTCGTAAAATTCATAAATACAAAATTAATTTATTTACACTCGGTTTAATTTCATATAAAAGTATATTACACTAATAATATTGATTAAGTCTCATTTTTTTAATTTTTAATAAATAAAAGAATTTTAATGAAAACGATTTGGTTCGCGTTTTTATATCCCTCCAATCAATTTAAATAACCTAAAATAAAACTATTTCATATATATTAATTACCTCGAATGAAATCTTTGTGAGTAATTGCACGAACGATGGTATTAAAGATCATTAAACAAGTCTATGATGTTAATGAATTAAGAGTTTCAAAGAAAAAAGTTAGAATTAATATCAATTAAAACATGGAAACTTAAGCGAGATAACGTGAGAAAATTTAATTAAGAAACAAAATTCTTTTTCTGAACTTTCACAATTCACTAAAACAGTCAAAGTTTTAATAACTCTTATTTCTTAAAGCTGTTGCAAGTCAAATAATAACGAAAAAAGGGATTGAATTAAAAAGCAGACTTTTACTTTATCTTTATATTAAATTTAAAAGCTGTCTTAATGGCATTTATGTAAAAAATTAAAATGAAAAAAATTTAGAATACAATATTTGGATCATGAAAGATAAGATGGTAAGTTAATTATTTGCCAAAAAAAATATTTTTGTAGCCGCGGGCTTAAGGCACTATGCTATACACCACTTGATCAAAGATATTTTTGGATTTTATTTTGTTCTAAAAGTTTTCAATAAAGTGAGGAAAACAAGACATGAAAAAATATGGGATGAATCATACTCTATTTACTAGAGTAATAAATATTGAACCTGTATTCTTCTTCAAATTATTAATTTTAAAGTCATTTTTCAATAATGATAATAATATGCCTAATTATAGATATTAGTTGCCATATTATCATACCATAAATTTATGCAAAAAATAATAATTGATATGTACACTAAATACTTCAGTTTTCTGTTTACATTCAATATATTATTTTCTATTCCATTATTAGTAACACGTGATATTAATTTCAGATCCTTCATTTGAAATGTCTCCCAGAATAAATACCCTGACAGCACAAAAAGTTATGGTCCGAAGAGTTACAAGAAGGTAAAAATTGACAGTGAATCAAAAACATAATAGTCATACTAATTTCATAAAAATATTTGAAATATTTATGTTTTTTTCATATTTATAGCTCTCCTGACAGTGATGATACATTTTCTGGTGAATGTGAAGATGGTATAATTGGAGCAAATGGCGATTTTCCAGTAAGGGATGATCAATTTTTGATTGCTGATAGATTAGAAAATAAATTTTACGGTGAGTAAATTTTCATAAAATAAGCTATTAATTACAACAAGTCATTACGATAAATAATTGACAATCGTTTATTGTAAATAAAATCTTCGACATTTCATTTTTCATGTAGTCACCTTCACAAAAATCGTTACTATCAGTCCAATTTTCAAGCACATCCTTTACAAAATTTTAATGAAAATTTGATAGATAGGGGGAAGTCCCGTAACGCCGGACGGCACTTAAAGCCGGACACTCTATTTAACACGTATTATCTAAGCGAGTATAAATCTTTTTATTTCAAAATACAAGTGAAAGGTGCGCGGGTGGCGCACGGGTGCAAAATCACTCGCCAAGCCTCGCCTGTGACGCACACGGCCACGGCGGGAGCAACCCTTTGTTGTTTTAGGCGCAAAAACAAGGCGTCATCTAAATATCAATGGAAGTAATTCTAGTGTATTTATGCATGTTTATTTTAGTGGCATTCAAAAATAAAAGTAGTACTTGATTGTTATCCGTAAAATGGTAGAATATTATTAGATATTTTAAACAATTTTAGTAGGTACCACCAAATGAACGAAATTGTCTGTCTCTTAGCGCCGGAGAATTGACGTAATTTATTATAATTATTTAAGTTTGTTCTGTATGAGTGCAAACGGTCATTACATACCCCAATTTTTCGTATTTTCTAGTCAAAGAATGAAAATCGGCGATGAATGCTCCAGCTGAGAGCATCTGCCAAAAGGGTGGATAATTAGTGTTTTTTTTTTTTGCAATATCTAAGAATTTTCGTCAAACACAAATGTGCAGGCATTCCAGAGTGTGGAGATGGCTACATATGTGTTCAATGCTAGTTATTTTGAAATGTCCGGTACTAGGTGCCACTTTCTAAAATCATACTATTTGTCACCAAATTATTAATTATTGTTTAGCAAAGATTGCGTTTTTGTTAATTTAGTTTGATTTCTAACTTTGTTATCTAACATTATTCATAATTTAATAAACATTTAAAATATTTTTTGATTTATTTATAAATAACCTTAGCACTCGCGGACTTAAATTTTCATGACTCGCACTAATAATCTTTTTTTATAATTATAGGTAGCGTCCATGGCAGCACAACCCCAAATTTTATGAACACTGGCCCATGTGGCCGAATTACTCAAGCAATTGCAAATATATGCCCATCATTGTTTCCATGGGTTAATCCTGGACCAGCAACATCAGAAACAGGTATCTACTTTTTCATTACTATTTATTATAAAACACTTCAGTTATTACAAATAGTATCAAATTATTAACAAAGCTCCGTTTTACAGGAATGTATGTTGTAAAACTAGTTGGCATAATGTTTGGATTAATATTTATAATGGACTTGACAGCCGCAGCGGGAAGTGGAACTTTTGCCATCACTGTTATAACACTTACAAGTTTTGCAATTATAGCAATATTGATACTAATATCAAAGCAGCCACAGAACAGGTATAAAAATAATTATTTACATCATAGGTATTATAATAAAAATATTCGAAAATCGGTATTATGGTGGCATGTTCTTAAATAATACTTAATATTAATTTTCATATTATGACCGAATAAATAAATAGTAAATGATTTAGAACAGTATTTCATGAGTTTATTAAATTGAATATTAGGCTATATATAATCACAATATTCACAAAATCCACCTTGTGTATCATATTTTCAGAAATAATTTAATAAATGTAATTTCGCGTTGAACTTTTGAATTTTTGCTTTCGGAAAATGTAACAATACAAATAGACTTTTAGTTTTCCTTCTCAAAACTTTTTGTTAGTCTTTTATGTTAATATCCATATTTTTGTTTAGCGCATTGTCCATATGAACTATATGGATAATACATTTAATTATTTTTTGGACAATCACCAAAATAAGATTGCATTTTTAAAGAAGTCACAGCCTAATACAACTAATAATTCTCGACTTAAAAGATCACTTTTGTTAATTTTCGCCGTACAAAAAACCTGATAAGGGGGCGTCCGTTAATCACGTGAGCCCTAAAGAGGGAGCGGGAGGTTAATAAAAAATCACAAAATATCACGAAGGGAAGCGGGAGTCTAGTAAGATATCATGTGTATCTATTTTTTACCTCGATTTAAAAAAAACTAGTTAAATCAAGTCAACTAGTCATGTCTCTAATCCTTCTTCGTGTCCATGTCTCTGATACATCTTAGAGTCCACATCTCTGATCCATGTTAGAGTCCACGTCTCTGATCCATCTTAAAGTACATGTTTTTGATCCATCTTAAAGTCCATGTCTTTGATCCATCTTACAGTTCATGTTTGTGATCCATCTTAGAGTCCATGTCTCTGATATATCTTAAAGTCCATGTCTATGATCCATTTAGAGTACATGTCTCTGATCCATCTTAGAGTCCGCCTCTGTGATTTATTATAGAGTCTACGTCTCTGATCCATCTTACAGTTCATGTCTCTGATCCATCTTAGAGTCCACGTCAGTAATCCATCTTAGAGTCTACGTCAGTGATCCATCTTAGAGTCTACGTATATGATCCATCTTAGAGTCCATGTCTCTGATACATCTTAGAGTCCACAACTCTGCTCCATCTTAGAGTCCACGACTCTGCTTCATCTTACAGTTTACGTCTCTGCTCCACCTAAGAGTCCATGTCTCTGATCCATCTTAGAGTCTATATCTGTGATTCTTTTTTTTTCAATCGTCAAGTATTTTTTTTAAAAAAAACTAAAATTATACGATTTTCTCTAGATGCTTACGGTGGGGAGGGTTAATACCACTACGTATCATCAAGGGGGAGGATCCAAAAATTCTTAGAAATCGCTTACCTAATGGACGCCTCCTAAGCTATGTGTTCCAATAAAACAAATAATAATAAACTGCTAAAGGGTCAAATTTTAGCACTTTCATTCATACAAATATTTATTGATGATGTCAAACGATTGAGAATGATATGCGAATTGGAATTTGTGGTAAAAACTAATTTTTCCTTCAGAAGCACCACTAGTTTGAAACGCTGTTGTAGTTTAATCAACTATAACAAATAAAGCTAGTAATTTGTTGTTACTTGTTACCATCCGCATTTGTAATTGAAGCCAACAAAAATACTGTGCAGAAAAAATTCTTTACATGGAAGTTTGAAACTATTTTTTTTATTAATAATAAAATTAGTTTCCAAACCAAACACAAAGTTGCCCTACATTCTGCAAAAAATTGATCACTAATTTTATCATTATCAGGCATGCATTACCCTTCTTGACTCCTGGCTTGCCAGTTGTACCAACAATAGCCGTCTTGGTAAACATCTATCTCATCATGAAACTTTCCATACTAACTTTGGTTCGGTTTACAGTATGGATGAGTCTAGGTAAGTGTTTCTATATACATCATAGGTAATTTAAAAATTTGAGTTGAATATTTTACTCTATTTTTTAGGGATCATTATGTACTTCTACTACGGCATCTCCAACAGCAACTTAGAACAAGGAGAGCAGACATTACCTGAAGAAACGGTATCAACCGATGCGAAAGCACAAACTAAATTTGCTTCACCTATAAACGTCTATTCTAATCACATGGCTAATGTCGACTTAAATGGTGGTTGGGGTGATGACCCTTACACATTGTCCAATACTTCCAGCAGGGTTGAATACGATAATAGGGCTTTCGAAGGGAGCCATTTCGGGGTCATAGATGCTTCCAGTTCAAGCAAATCGCCCTTCAACGCATGGGACGATTAGTAGTCGACGTAAATGACTTAGGAATTTACCTAAAGTGATACCTTTTGTTTAAAATAATACTAGTTACTCGAGTAAAAAAGAGGATATGTAATTATAGTATATATGAAAAATATTATTCTATTTAAAATTCCATTTCACTGACATATCTCTATTCTATAATATGTAGATTTTTACTGTTGTGATTATTGATAGGATATTTGTTTTTGTTATCAATTGATGATTGCAAGTATTATTAATTACTAGGATTTATTAAATTGACAAAGAAGCAGTAATGCTTTTTGGGTTCAACGTACATATGACTTCTGCAATTTCCGCAGGATTCGTCTCCTTCATAAGTTCTAAGATATGCGTACTGTGTATACACATATTAGAGAGATCGCACATATATGCAAAAAATTCTAGAGAATAACGAATTTCATTAATAAATTTTAAATTATATACATATAGATAATAAATAAATACTTATTATGGTTTAGTTATGTGATGTTAACACTAAGTCAACTTGTTATATAAGAAATATGACTTACTCGAAGTAAAGTTTAAACTAGGACAGGATTTTGAATCTTCTTAAGGCCGATCCATAATTTAAGCCATCATATACCAAATATTATAACTAGACCGCTGTAAATTTAAAATCTGCTCGTGTCAGCTTCATTGTAGTTTATCGTGTAAAATTTACGACCAATTGTAACGAAAAGTTCCCAGCATGACGATTCATATCAAATATTTGATATCAAAATAGAAATTATAAAGTTCTGTTAACTAGGTTATAAAAGGCAAAATATATGCTTCGTGCTTAGGGTAAATACTCTATAACAACTATTTTAACAAATCACTATTCCAATATTAATATGAAAAAGAAAAAAAAGTGGATAATTTTCTGCACTAATCGTTTTGCCAATAATTCATTCAATAGAACTATTTTTCAAACTGCCATAAATAGCTTCTGGTAATATATATATGATGATTGTAAATATAAACTTGTAAAATAGACCACTATCATTTTTTTCATTGTTCAGAAATCAGAACTTAATAGTTCTATGAGCTATTGTGCTCAAAATTTTACGCTGATAATTAGATGACATCCCAACGGATAATCTGGCGGTTTCCAACCTGTGGGTCGTGCTCCTTCAGGAGCGCCAGGCTTTTCTAAGGAAAGCGCGTACATCTGTTTCCAAAATACTATTATCGAAAATAACCCAACATTTTTGGAACGACAATAAAGTTTTTATGCATATTTTTATATAGTATTGCATATTAATTTGTAGTCTGATAAAATCAGTCCAGTATTTATAAAAATAAACTGTTCAAAAAATTAAGAGGATCGCAACATTTTTTTTATTAGAGCAAGGGAGCGCGGGGCAAAAAGGTTGGAAACCGCTGGGATAATTTATCTATATTTTTTAGATTTTCATTATCAGAATTTATCTCATACTGATCTTACATTTCATTGTGATGCAGCAATACTACTCGAGAAAAGCCCTATATACAATTTTTCCCTAAAAATTTTGTACTCATCCTAGAGCTCCATTGTTTTAATCGTTGTGTTCCTTTTTTTGCAATTTTTGTCAGTGAATTACATTAACATTTAGAACCATAATTTTTCTCCTACTTTGCATAAGAACACTAACATATCTTTTAAACAATTCGATAAAAACTGAGGAATATCAATTGTAAAAATCATCAACAAGAAAGGAATTAGACCAAATATTCTCTGCAGAGAATTTGAATCTGATTGTGAGCCAAATACAACATTTCATACTTGTCTTAATATATATTGATGATATATAAAATATTATTAGACCTTTGAATATATTTTATGGTGATTTTTAATGCAGAACTATCGATATGATTTTAATTTAATTTATTTTACTCGTTTAAATTTTAGAGCACACGTTATATATCTTTCTCATAATTTTATGAGAAAACGGCTTTGAAGGCGAACAAAGACATCAGAGTCATATAAATCAGACTTTTCAGTCATCAGATTCCATACAGATCTTTTGGTTTTTGTTAGGTTAACACATATTATTTTTAACAAAATGAATTATTTTTTGTCTGTATAAATGTCAATATTCGAGACTACGTTTTTTTAGTTCCGTCCTTCCCTATATAACATAATAAAAGCTATTCTAACAAAATTAACAACTTTGCTGTAAAAACAACAATGTGCTTTTGCTAGTAAATTTTAAATAAATATTATCATTATGTAATATAATATCGATTTTATAATTGGTCATCTGGCATTTAATATTACGTCCTAAAGGGATTCAAAATTTTGTCATCGTTTCCAAATGATTTTGATTATTCGAACTAAATTTCAATATACTCGAAAGCCACTCTTAGAATTTTTGTTATAGTTGTTTGAAAAATGATATTATTGATATTAAGTTAAACTGAATAATTGGATTGAAAAATATGTATATTTATAAAAGTAAATATCAAAGTTAATGAGAAACTACTAAGTTTATCATAATATTTATTACTCCTGTGAACAGAGTAAATTTCTGAGTAATAAATATTGTTTAATGTTGAACTGAAATCTTATAATTTAACCCTTTCGCAATGGATGTCGTCCATGAATTACATCCACTCGGCTACCTGTGTATCCAAATGTCGTCCATGGACGACATGTTGCATGTTGCATGTCGGACTCACTACGATTTAAATTATTGGTAAATCTATTTTTTTTTGTAAAATTTAGTTTATGACGAGCGCCATTTTCATTTTTTCGATACATTTTTATTATTAATGATTATGTTAGAAAAATCACAAAATATATCGTTGTGCCTGTCCGTTCAGTAGTGCAACTAAGTGGCACGCTGTTCCCGTATAGCAGTGACATTCCTACGAAAACACTCAAGTAGCGAAAGGGTTAATCATAAAATGTAGCAGTTTTGATAAATATTATAATAATGTACATATTTTTCAAAATAATTATATTATTTATGGACTTATATTACTAGAAAGATTGTAAAAGAGAAATATTCTTTAAGTGCTTCTTATCTTTTTTGGCAATTTATAGCAGCCACGATCTAGAAATATAAAACCAATTAAAAATGAGGTATCTGTCAAAACGTTTGGTCAGTCTTGTTGATTATTGATGTAAGTTTAAAAGGCCAGCCTGCTTCAGAGGCTTCAAACAATCGCTTTTTAGAGGATTTTTAGGGAAGCAAATTAATACTTAATTCAAACAAAACTATCAGGTTTTATTGTTATATATTATAACATTCTTCTCAATTTTTTTCATTAAAAATATATTTCATAATATGCAGGGCACAAGCATTTTGCTGAGGCGCCACGAACGTGCATGTATCATATGGCGGGAAAGATGCAGGTCACAATTTGCATCCGAAACAAAAAAAAAATCAAAACAAATTTATATTTTCAATAATATAGATTGTAGTTGAAAAATCTAGGTGAAAATCAAATCATATAGAATATTCTATATATATCTATATTCAATAATATAGATTCTAGTTGAAAAATCGATTCTAGGTAAAAAATCAAGAAAAAAACGAGAAATTCTCCTTTTTCCCATAACTTAAAAAATCATGTTTTTTGATAAAAAAAAATTCACTTTAGATTGTTTAAAAAGTGGGTTAGTTATAACTTTTTTAAAAGATTTTTTAGGTTCAACTGAAAGAGAATTTAAACCTGAATACAATAACCTTTATCTCGTTTCGATAGGACGTTTAGTTTTTTTTCCCGCCAATTAGGTAAAATCAAAAAAATTAAAAACCGCTCGTTTTGCTCAATATTTCTTCTGTAATAATATGAATTTTTCCTGAAATTTTAGGGATATATTCTTGACTAGTTTTGGAAGATATTTCAGAAAAAAAAACGATTTTATTAAGCCTCTAAAGCAGGTTTCCCCTTATGTCATTTTTTGAAACAAACTGCCAAGGTCTAGTAATGTGAGTCCCTAAGGTTATTTTGTACAAAATGTGGTTGTTTTCTCTCTGTAATAATTAAAATTTGGGTATAAAACTATAAATAGTTAACTCTTTATGAAATAAGCTTTGCAGCTTGTCATAGAGGATAATAATCATCCAATATAAATGCTCGATGGAATTTTGTTCTATTACAATAGAACACTTAATCAAAATGAATCAGTTAGAGAAACGAGCATTTATTTAGAGCAAAACGTCATATATAAGATCAAAACATATCTTCAGCCGTTGATTTATTATTACTATTAAACAAATCTGATTCTTATATCAGCCATTAAAAAAATCTAAATATTGTTAAACTTCTTCATATCTTTCTCTGTGTAAGTCTTGCTGTTCGTATTATTTATGTACAAATGTATGTATGTAAAAAGTTAGTCGTGGGCAATATTTCTTGAAATATCTGCATAAAAAAATTAATAATTGAAAGTAAATGTTGGCATAGAATATAATATTCCAAAATTTGAAGTTTTGCAATTTTGTAAAATTAAATGTGACAAAGGTTGTGTAGTTAAAAATATTGAAGGGATGATATAGATATGCAGTATTTATACAAGAAAGTTAAATTTAAAATTTTAGTTACATGGGAGATAAAGGATAAGTAAAATTTAAGGAACGACTAAAATGTTTTGTACTTAATAGTAATGTTGTGATTATTGAAGTGTAAAATTATTAATTCTAACTTATTTTTTAAGTAAAAATAACGCATCAGTAATATAAAAATAAATCGCAAAATGTGTTGGTAAGCGTATAACTCAACAACGCCTGAACCAATTTGGCCAATTCTTTTTTTAAAATGTTCGTTGAAATCCAAGGATTGTTCTTGCTGCGAGAAAAAATCCAATAATTGCCAGGAAAACCCTAAAAACACCCCTTTTCTTTTTCACATACAAACGTTAGTATTTTCATATTTTTGTCATCGGATACGGAATATTTACTCAAGTCAATGGAGCGTTTTGGGTCTGATTTTTTTTACTGTGTTCCAATTCGTATGAAATTTTGAAATTAGGTTTGTCTTACTCGAGAAGTTCAAAAATGAAAATAATTTAG